TGGGACCACAGGTACCTGCCACACGCCCGGCTATTTTTTGGTTGCAGCCATTATTATTGTTTGGTGGGTCCGGGCTGGATTCGAACCCGCCACCTTAGGTGTATGTGGCTGGTGCCTTAGCTACTTGAGCCACAGGCGCTGAGCCTCTTTCTGTTATTTTAAAATGCAATTTGATAACTCTTCTTTTTTTTTTTGGAGTCTTACTATGTTACCCTCAGTAGAGTGCCATGGCATCAGTTCACAGCAACCTCTAACTTTCGGGCTTAAGCAATTCTCTTGCCTCAGCCTCCCAAGTAGCTGGGACTATAGGCTCCCGCCAAAACGCCTAGCTACAATTTGATAACTTTTTAAATCAGTTATCAAGTATCAGAATACTTGGCAATGCCTCAACTACTTCTATGATAATCTAATCTTCCCCAGGAAATCTTCACATAACAATGCCCTGCTTCTGGAAGTTTAAAGGTACCCTTGTATCTAACCAAACAGCTCTTCACCTACTTGAGCATTCCCATCAGATTCTCCCCCCCATAGAAATGATTTCAGAAGCCTGTTTCTTTCTTTCTTTCTTTTTTTTTTGAGACAGAGCCTTAAGCTGTCACCCTGGGTAGAGTGCTGTGGCATGACAGCTCATAGCAATCTCCAACTCCTGGGCTCAAGCGAGTCTCCTGCCTCTACTTCCCAAGTAGCTGGGACCATAGGCGCCCACCACAATGCCTGGCTATTTTTTGGTTGCAGCCATCATTGTTGTTTAGTGGGCCTGGGCAGGATTTGAACCTGCCAGCTCAGGTGTATGTGGCTAGCCCCTTAGCCATTTAAGCCACAGGCGCTGAGCCCAGAAGCCCATTTCATTAGAGGAAACAAACTACTCTTATTCAGTAAATAGTGAAGTCAAATACTTGTCCATGTTTGCTGGCTACATCCTTAAATTTTTATGCCCTTAGTACATTTATCTAAAGAAGGGTTTTTTTTCTTTTGAGACAGTTTTACTTTGTCCCCCTTGATAGTGCTGTGATATCATAGCTCACAGCAACCTCAAACTCTTGGGCTCAAGCCTCAGCCTCCTGAGTAGCTAGGACAACAGGTGCCCGCCACAATGC